AATGCTGATGTTTACAGACTAAAAATATGATATCATGTCTCCCATGCTGTACAGGACACAGGATATTTACATCTAAATATCAAATGAACACCAGCTTAAAAGCGGTTTAAACTGGGAGGAAATAGCCTGGACAAAGGTGGGAGAATTTCCTTGCGATAAATATGTCCAGGATTCTGCTCATGCAGGAGTAGTTCACATTCCAGGAAGTGATACATACGATACTTGCTTTCTTCAGCTCTAAAAAAATTAGCCCCACAGTCAAGGTGGGCCATCACAATTCCAATCATTCTATACCACTGGCTATATATGCTGATGAGGACTGTAGTAAAAAACCACGTGGAGTGGCCCACTGCTTTTTTTCTGATAGACATATTACTTTCTTAATACTGGAGGAGGGAATCGATAATTTCCCTCTCCCCCATAATAATGATTTCAGTAGCTCCTTGAGCCTCCGTTGGTGCAATGGGTTAAACCCTTGTGTTGACAAGACTGTTGACTGACAGGTCAGCAGTTTGAATCTGGGAAGAGTGGGTTGAGCTCCTTCTATCAGCTCCAGCTCCCCATGCGGGGACATGAAAGAAGCCTCCCACAAGGATGGTAAAGCATCAAAATGTCCGGGCGTCCCCTGGGCAATGTCCTTGCAGATGGCCAATTCTCACACCAGAAGCAACTTGCAGTTTTTCAAATTGCTCCCGACACAGAAAAAAAACCCAACAGTTCCTAAGGAATATCTCATTGCTAGAATCTCAGACACTGCTCTTGCTTTACATAAGATGCTGTTTTAAGTGTTAAAACTTGTAATGTAAGACTACAGATAAAAAAAAATCAAGTGGGCACATCTGTTTACATTTTCTAGGGCATGTTCATACTAAAGATAGGAAGGCAATTGAAATACCCTCATTCTGCTTATACCTTGCCCAAAACACTTACAGGCAGGTTCAGGGAAATTGAAAGAAGGGGTGATGTTCCAAAATACCGTTCACTACAAATTGATGTTGCAGAAAATATGCTATCTAACAAGGCAACATTGTGCCAGGCTATATAAAGAATTTTATTGAAAAGCTTCCATTCAATCAAAATGATTTGGCCAGGGATGGGAAAACAACCCTTGAGATGTTCCTGGACTGCAATTCCCATTAGCTTAGTCAACGTCAGTAAGGGCATGAGATGATAGAAGTTGCAGTCCAATCACATCTGTAGGGGGGCAACTCATTCCCTGTCTGTGTTTTAGTCATTCAGTGGGAAACTGGAATGAGATTTAACAGCTCCCTGACTTCAAATAATATAACAACATCTGATCACAGGATACAGGAATCCAAAAAATGCTGTTGCACAATGCAAACATCTTAAGGGGTTGACAAGTACTTGCTTGTAAACAAGCTCTTCAAAGTGTTTGCTCCTAAACAGGAGAAGGAAATGAAGGCATCCACCATGAAATCAATTTACACCCTAGGAAAACTGTTCAGATTTTCTGACATTAGCACCTGTAGAGCTATTTACTTGCTGGTTATCTACAATACAGTGGATCTTTGGTATTAATCAGTTTGGTCCAAAGACCCGCATGGCTATCAACATCTATGGATGCTCAAGTCCCATTATATACAATGACATATAGACAGTAAAATATAAAAAGGCAAAAATGAAGTTTTCCTTTTTGAGATTTTTCAACAATACCTTCTAGCCATGGATAGTTGAATCTATGGATGCAGAATCTGCATATGGAGGGTTGATTGTGCAGTATATGTGCTATCTGGAGGCCTATATGATGAAAGGCTCTATACAATAAATAAGATCTCAGCTCCACCCAGTTATCATTAGCTTTCATCCTTACCATCAAGGCCCTCCAAACAATCTCATAACTAATGTTACTACCTGTGTTGGGATGCAAATAAGTGATTGTAAGACCCAGTTTTATGATGAAAGGACTTCAGTACAACAGTCTTTTCTCTCCAGAAATGCACACAAATGCCTTATCCTTTTGGGATATTTTATGGAAGACTGTTAGCGGGAGATATTGAAGTATGTCCTACAGCTACAATATTCTTTTACTTCTCAGATTACATGTGTGCTAGTTAATAAAGGTTTCTATAACCCAGTGAAAGGGGTGCTTTTAGAGACATTTATTAAAGCAGCATCCTAATTATCTTCAACAGAAGGAAGTGATTAAAATTTTGTTTACGGCAACAAGGTTGTATCAGAGAGCCAGTCTGAGTGTGTGTTCCATATATCAGGATGAACTGTACTTTTAAATATATACCTTCAAAAACATGTACTTTTTTTTTTAAAAAAGCTAATTGAGAAAATGTCTTTTTTCAGGAGAACATTGGGTTCATGGAAGAAAACCTTATTTTCAGAACATAGATTTCAAAACACAATTGGTGAACAATGGCAACAGCAACAATAAGATCGGACCAAAATGGCTATAACCCATAAATGTAACAAGAACAAGATTTCTTGGATTGGAAATAAGGGATGTTTGAAAACGATAGGAAAGTTCCTCAACAAAATAAACAAAGCTTAGCCAACATTATCATTACCTTTTAAAATTCAACACCTTTAAAATTCAACACTTTATTAATTACTTTTATTAATTACATTTTCTCAAAAATAATTAAAACTAATTATTTTTCCTTAAAAGAGTGGGTTTTTTTAAATTCAGCAGCATAAGGCACAGTGTAAGCTGTCCCCTGAATGTATAATGTGGTATTTTCCCTTCATCGTAATGATGCCATAGTCCATAAAACAATGAAAAAGGTACAATTACATCACAAAAGGACAAAATTATCCCTCAATTTGTAACTGTAATGCAATATGATTATGCTGTCATTGTTGGAAAGGGGAATTAATTAGTTGATACAAATAATGATTAGTTCCAAGGTCTGTGTCAGAAAAGGCCAGGAAAGAAAGGAGAGAGATAATCCCCTCGTATCTTCCAAGAGGCTTTGCCCATTTGTTGTCCAAAGACAAGAAGACAGCTACATTTGGGAATGTTCAAATAACATTGTATTCATGGGTGGATAATTTTCCCTTTGGGAGTCTATCTTAAAATTGCAATACTATCTAGAAGACCTGTTTTCTGTAAGCGGCTTCTACTGAGGAATAGATCTACCTTATCCTCTTTAAAGGGAGAAAGAGCATACCGTACAGGCTAGGGGCTCTTCCACACAGCCATATAACCCAGAATATCAAGGCAGACGATCCCACAATATCTGCTTTGAACTGGGTTATCTAAGTCAACACTGCCATATATTCCAGTTCAAAGCTGAAAATGTGGGATTTTATTCAGATGTGTGGAAGGGGCCTATGCTGGAATGTGCCTATACTTATAATTTCCGATAAGTAAGCAAAGGCCATACACCATCTATTCCTGTAAACAGGAGATGCTGCGTCTCAACTGGCCTATGGCAGACTACTTGAAAAAAGGTAAAATCAGTCAGTGTTGCTTAATGAATTTGGTTTTGTTGACTCTTCCAGAGCCATACTTACCTTATGAAGAGTCATAGCTTTTTGTCTATTAAAGGACAGGCGAGCTCCTAATTATTTTCTACATCAGATTTAATATGTGCTTTGAAACAAATGCAAGAATGATGATCTCGCTTGATTTGCTGTTTCTTCTACAGCGAAGACCTTTAAATCATCTCGCCTTTGAGAGAATAATGCCAGTCGACAGGCTAACTTTTCACAATGCCTCATTCACTGAATATTCAGAAATCGCCTCACTGGCCTTTGTATTTCAGTGATCTAGACCTGTAAGTAACTTTTATGTCTTTTGATGAAACAGAACAGGTCTGAAAACTCATACATTATAAAGATAAAACATCCAGCTGAGGGTACAACTGGTGGCAAACCTGTTATTTAGCTGTGCAGTGAATGGAACTACCTCAAGTGGAAGAGGAGATTTTTCTGCCTGTGATGGATTGTTCAGAGGCCTTTTTGTAAATATATACGAGGGTGGGTCAAAAAGTTTTGTCTCCTGTCTCATAAAAATGTTATGAATGAACACATAACAGCAGAAGTTGCTGTAGATCACAGCCTTAACTGTCCTCTACACAAAACTACCATTCAACATAGTCACCATTGATTTGTTCACATTTGTGTCATCGTTTAAAGCTGTTTTAATGTCATCCAAGTCATTGAATATGAAACCACGTAGGTTGTCTTTCAGAGGTCCAAACAGGTAAAAATCAGAAGGGGCCAAATCAGGGCTTTAAAACGGCTTTAAAATCATGGGTCACGAAGCAAAACCTTAATTTTTTCCAAAATGGTTTTGATGCCTGGGTTAAACAATGGTGCAAATGTGTACAAATTGATGGTGTTGACTATGTTGAACGGTAGTTTTGTGTAGATGACAGTTCAGGCTATGATCTGTTATGTGATTATTCATAACGTTTTTATAACACAGGAGGCAAAACTTTTTGATCCATCCTTGTAAAAGACAAAATATGCCCTAGTTGCATATGCTCCAATTATTATTGATACCCTGGGACAAATTTTCACGTTAATCGCTAAATCAAGTATGTTTAATGATGAATCTTTATGCACAAAACCCCGTATTTGCCAAGTGGGACGTATTTTTACGAAAGCAATGGCTTCCAGACTGTCATTTATAAATACATTTGTTGTAAATATCTTTATTAATCTCTCGCTATAAAATCGTTACACATGTGCCTAATAAAAATGAGCAGTTGTCCCAAGAGGTTGCCCTGTTCACAACTTAAAATTCATTTCAAGAGAATTTATGACAAAACCAGTTTAGGCTGTTTGGTTACATAAATCAGTGATGACAGGGTTTTTTTGGCGTGTGAAAATATTTATGAGAGGGCGAAAAGACTTTGGTAACATTTTAAACATCATATTCTGTTGTTTACTGGGAACCATGTGTTCACATGTCAATTTTGATTAAAATAGTTCTGTTTTAGCCTGTGATATATTGTTGTCTCGGCAGCAAGTTGTTCCCCAGTAAAGGGTTCATATGGTTGTCAATGAAAGGTGGCTCCTCATTGGCAGACAGTCTTCTATTGACATCTTTATTAAACATTTGTACAAAGGCAATGGCTGACATTTTACAAAGAACACAAATATTTTTAAAGCCGAAAGTTTTTGTCTTATTCGTCTTCATAATTGCTAGGCCTTGACTTCATGAGCAACCAGATAAAGGTTTTTATTTAGAGTCCTATGTAACAGTCGCTGAATTAGAATACTGACTTTAGCACAATAGGATTCTCTGTGTAATGCTCGCTGGCTCTTCCCTGCCTTGGACTTTACAGTATGCAAAACTAAACACAAGATTTACGTTCGCTCTCTTACTTCTCAATATTGGAAGTTCCTGGAGTCATATTTGTAAAGCTTGTATTTTTCAACTTTTTAAAATAAAGTTCCATTGACGAAGTGAAGCTTGCAAGGACTTACTGTTCAGTTTGCCAGATGAATTTCAAAGATGGTGATATTAATTAATAATCCTATAGCTGCTAAACTTTATTGTGAAATATGTAGTTTTCCAGGGGACAGATCTTGTGCTGGGTTATTGAATCTGGATGGAAAATGAAGAATATTATTTAGAATGAACACAGAATCAACATGCATCATTTGCCCTAGTATGTAAAAAAGTGACACCCTGTCCTACTATAAGAAACAACATATTCCTAAATTGTTTAGACAAGAAAAAGTGTTGTCCTAAGGCGCCAAGAAGTGAAAGGCAGTGCTAAGTTTCAGTTCACTTAACTCATCCAACTGAGATATAGCTTAGTATAGAACTGAAAATATACAACATTAAGACTATGAACCATCTTTTGATTTTTAATAAGAAAAGTCTAGACATTGATTTCTACCAGACTGTTTAGGAAAAAAAATCCTGTTAATCACAGGAATGTCACTAATGCTCAGACAATATTTTGATATATGATGAAATTAGGATCAGCTTTTAGATGTGTGCATTTCCTCCCAGTCTCTGCATAAAATCAATCAGATAACTGGGAGATCCACTGATGAAAAGAATGTAGGGTCTTCTCTCACTCTGGATCATGAAACTACTGAGGCTCTATTCCCCCCATTCTAGAAGTGTGTTGAATTAATTTGAGTTGATGGGAGCATACTAATCGCTCCCTTGCCTCTTCTAAGTACAAGTCTCACTCATAAATTTGCTCTATACCAAAGGGTTTTGTGTAGAGACAGGAGGGAAATAATGCACGTATACTTGGGACAGCTGTCATTGTTCAGACAACGAGATTACACAACAATCTTCTCACTATATAAGCACCTATTTCTCCTTCAGGGCGAGACCCTTCTAAATTCCTCCTCGACTTCATTAGCACTCCTTTGACATGAATTTGTCTCCAATTAAATGGGGAAATCTTTAAATGAATTCAAATGATAAATTGATATGACAACAGGATTTCCCCCCCTGATCTTAGGAATAGGAAAAAAGCCATGGCAAATACATTTATTTATAGTATTGGGTGCAATAGTTTTATGCTAAAGTAAAGGTAAAGGTTTCCCCTGACATTAAGTCTAGTCATGTCATCTCCATTTCTAAGCCAAAGAAAGACACAACCAAGGTCATGTGGCCCGCATGACTACATGGAGTGCCATTACCTTCCTATTGAGTGGTACCTACTGATTTACTCACATTTCCATGTTTTCGAACTGCTAGGTTGGCAGTAGCTCACCCCGCTCCCTGGATTTGAACCACCAACCTTTTGGTCAGCAAGTTCAGCAGCTAAGCTGTTAAACATACGCTAGAAAGTAAAAATGTGGCTTCTTACCTAGAATCCATTTTTCTGATAAACACTGTATGCCAGTGTACTTGCCAATCTTGCATTCGCCGATACAGATTTTAGCATCACGGATTGCTTTACACACTCTTCCTCCACAAAGCTTGATTAACTCACAGAGTTTCTTGCAGGGAGGTTGACTTGTATGTGAGACGTACATTATGGGCTGATCTGAAAAAAGTTTCTGGTGATCTTTCTTGTTAGGAAGGTAGCGCTGAAATCGGCAGATCTGTGTTAAAGAAGAGGGGAACCTCACATTATTATGTTTTGATGCTCGTACCAGAGCTTCATCAAATGTTTGGAAGAACAACTGCCTGGTAGAAGCACCAGATTTGGGTTGTCCTTCACAAGCAAATTGTTAGTTACTTGATTATTGCTATTTTGAGAATTTTTGTGCTGGAACAATTTGGCTAACTTCAACTATGTATCTTGGTTTGGGTCTGCTACTCAACTAGATAGCAACATTTCTTGAGACATCCTTGACCTAGATCAATACAGAACATTAGAACATGTTGCACGTGAAAATGTTATGTGTTTCTCTCTCTGTGTGTTATGAAATGTTAAATCTATATAAATATGTGAAATATATTTTGCTATAATGCTCCTTTTTACTCTTATCAAATTCGATGGCTGCTTTCTACAAAAAGATGTTCCTAAAACGCAGACTGTGTTATCCTTCTGTTATTCTAGTAATAGACAACCAGAATATAAATTCCATTGAACAACATTTCATCACTGCTACTTCAAACTCGAAACAGTAAAAACCAAATCAAGTGCAATAAATCAAGGGCGTATTGACATTCAGATTCTGCTGAACAAGTGTTAACAACTACAAAAAGAATAGGACCTAAATAGCTTATGATATATCTAATGCAGGAAAATCCATGTCATCCAGTGATTTAGGGATCTTTTAGATCCAGCCTATGCTGATGTGAAGATCCCTTACCTTGCCAGCCTGGGTGGCAGGGCCTAGGAGAAGCAGGCTAGTTAGTTTCAGCCTTAGAAGGCCTGGCAGAGGGCAGCAGGAGCCATTTTAGTTTAGGGAAAGCTCCATTTCAGAGAGGGGGAGTGGCCTAGGCCTGAGCCAGCCTTGAAACAGCCAGGATTGGTTTATTAAAGGGGGGCGGAGTTAGACTGTTTGGAGGGAAAGAAAGAAGCTTTTTCAGTGTCAGTCTGTTGATGTTAGAGTTAGAGCAGGATTACAGAAGCTTTTAGGAGTTCATGTTAAGAATAGGCAGTTTGCCTGAAGTTTGCCAGCGAATTAAGCTGTGGCAAACTGGGTACAGCTATTTAGGGGAAAAATAGCTGGGTTTTATATTTGTAACAAAGAAAGAACCATTCTCATGCAACCGTTACGCTTTCAAGTACCAGAACATTTTATCTGTAACAGCCAAGCCTATTAAACAGCATTTACACTTTCTTCTGTACTATATTAAATAAACTTTCCTTGTTTTTTTTGAAACTTAAGCCTGAGTCAAGTGTACATTTGTGGATTTAGTCCCTTTTCCTTTTAAATCAACCTCACCTGTTTTCCTTCAAAGAAGCCATTTAAAAGACACGGTACTTGGTGGTCTAGAAAGCCTTTTTAACAGTTTAACTAGCTAGAGTGTTCCTGTTCATTTAGTGTATGGTGGCAGCGAAAGTTTAAATAGGGAGGCAATCCCCTCAAACGTTCTATAGGTGCCAGTGAAGTCTTTATAAAGTGGTGTAAAGTCTTTATTATATTGGAGGGACAGTTGGTGGGATCTGTTTGCCCCCTGTCCAGGTATATTGTTTGGCCCATATACGAGCTTTTATAATTGGTGTCAGATGGTGGGATTGATTGTATTGCCATCTGCATAGACTTTATAATATCATGTGCTGAGCATATGTACTAGACTTTCAGAATTGAATGAATCCTTTTTTCTATCTTCATGTACTTACAGAGGCATCCGTTATTAGGGCACATTAAACAGGTATTTCTTGGATTTTATTAAAGCTGTGGCTAAATAATTGAGATATTCAAATTAATATCAGATCAGTGGGGAATTTTTTTTAATCTACCATGTGTGTTTGATCTTTAAAGAGTCAGAAAACAAGCAGAAGAGTATGAACAATATTGTGATATTGACAAGGATTTAAGATGGTACTTCATTTAATATTAGTCTAGGTTTAAGTCCCTTCTCAGCCATGAAGTTTCCTGGCTGAGCATAGGCTCGTCACTCTTAGTATCAGTGAAAGGTTATAAGGATAAAGAAAGGGAGATACTCTACATGTACACTGACCTGGAGAAAATTAATATAATTATAATAATATTAATACAAATTATATTAACTGTGCTATTGCCAGAGCAAAAATAAGACTTAAGCATAGCTAATGCTAGGAACAAAATAGGAATTATGCCTAAGAGATGATGTCAGAGAAAGCGTGTAAGCTTGATTTTTCAGTGATAGTTAAGAAATGGTATAGTGTGTATGCATTTTCTATACACTGACTTTAATAAACTGCAAAGTATGTATCAGGAAAAGATAATGTGCTTCAGCTAAACAGTTAAATGTTCACACGAACATGGATATTATACATGATGTTTAAAATGCTAGAACCACTTCACTATAAATACAATTCAAACTTTTTTAAGTACTAAAAAAAGTATTTCCCTCTCATCAGACAGCAAGTAATCTCCTGTTTAGGCTAATCATGGAAAACCAAAAGAAGAAAAACAATCTGCAGGAGACTTTAATCTAGCATAACTTTATCTAAAATTAATAATCAAATCGGATTTCAAGAGACGTTGTGCTAAAATTGTCCTGTCGCTTTTGCTAGCCTGGAGCCCTAAAAGTCCCAATCTGAAGCTGATTAGAACTGACAAACTCTGTTTATGTTCAAAACCCAGCAAGAGACTTACATTGCCACAAGGAACATACATACAGTTTAACTTGATTGTGATCCTGCTGTTTTACACATTTTGGAAGAAATGTTTTAAAAGATCTGTGGAATTCCTGCTTGTTCAACCTTGTTTCTGAAAGTCTTTATTTGCTGTGGTTGTAATAAAAGAGTCGTTTCATTTTCACAGCGCCTTTTCTTATTATTCTGAAAATATGCTTAAGTTGACAAGAAAACTAGAGAGTGGGGTGGGCCTTCTACTCTATATTTTTAAAATAAAAGTTGGAAATCACTATACACCAAAATTAAAAGACCTAAGACTTTTAGTGATATCAAGCTGTACTGTACATTCAAATATACTTGTAGGCTGCATGGCTGGGATTTCAAAATTGTTCCCCAAAGTCCTTTAAAATTGGATCTAAGAGCAAAATACAAGTGGATTCATTGAGATGTATTCCCCAGCCACATTTTCTACAAAAATTGCTAAAACATATGTGTATTCAAACTATTGCATCAATGACGTTGACACCCAAGCTCACATATGAAATTAAGATGGGCTATTAGACCATTGGTAGTTACTACATGTCATACATAGCCTCACAAACCAGGATTCCATACACGTTTATGTAATAAACTTTGGCCCTTCAAGTGTTTTGGCCCACATTCCCTGTGAGTTTACCCCAGGAAGGCAATGGAAAAGAAATTATAGTCCAAAAATTGTTGGATAACCAAAGGGAACCTGTCCTTGCATTACACCTACTTAGAACAATTCCAAAGACTTTTAAAATCAACTAAACACAAAGCAGATTTACCTGCATGATTCATACCATCACATTTTAAGTGTACATGCAAAGTCAAATATCCAGTGAAGTTATCAGGTGTAGGTGAAAATAAAAGTTTTAAGAATGCCAGTCTCCACTGGTGGGACAGATCTCACCCGGTCTGTTGTACCATGATTGTGCCTGGTACTCATGTTTATGTGGACATACATCATGGGGATTCTGAAAATGAGTGGTTTGTGCTTCCAATAGTCAGTGAAAGTCACATTCCACTTGGTGCAGAGGAGCTGTTCTCTAGGGAAAAGAATTCAGAGTATGAAACTCCAGGTGAAGAAAATAATGTGTTGCAAGATAATGAGCTGGTAGATAGGAGGCTTAGTTTTTGGAAACTTTGGCCTGCTCAGCAGAACTTCCAAAGGTCACAGCACCTCTTACAGAAAAAACCCATAGCAGAAACTCATGGGAGGAAGCATGACTTCATGTCTTTATTAGAGAGGCCGGGATCATTCCTGGCCAGTCTGGTCAACGTTGGTAATTCAGACAACTGCTCCTGCCAAGACCTAGTCAAGCTTACTGAGGGAATTCTAGTTTCATGTCTTTGCTCCTGTTTCATGCTTCCAAGTTTGAAGGGTTGTTCCTGGATTTTTGTATTGGATTTTATTTTGCCTTGTATTTTCTCATTTCCTTGCATTCCTATGCTGGATGTCCTGTTACTTTGGGATTTTGGATTACTCTTGTACCTTGAACCTTGTGGACTATTTTACACATATAGAAAGGCCAATGGACTACATGAAGATGGAAATCCCCTACACACTTGCGTGAGAATAAGCTACATTGTTCAGTGGATTGTATTTCTGAGAAAATACAGAGAGGATTGTCCTCTCTTCCCTGTTCAAGTATATCTTACATCCAAGAAAGAAGAGGAAACTAAAATTCAGACAATACGACTAAAATGTGACTTAACACTGCGAACTGGTAGATAAGCCTTACTTCTCTCACACACTGATAAGAAAAGCTAAAATTCAATAATTGTCTGAAAGACAATATTCCAGTGGGAATATTCTGTAAAAATGCTTGGCAGATAAATCTGCTATCTGGCAAATATTCAAATTCATACTTGATGATGTTTGAATGACTTTTTCCTGTGCAGCAAACAACATTTCCATCAGAAGAATTGTTTGTATCCACATTCTAAATGTATATGAAATACCAAACAATGTGTATAAAATACATTAAAAAAAAACCCTAAGCACATTTTATTAATAATCTAAATGCTTTAAACTCCCCCCCCCCCCATTTTTAAAAGAGAGAGTAAATTAATTCACATTCCAAACTATTCAAATTTAATACAGACTGGTGATTACCATGTCTAGTGATCTCAAAATTGTTATGGCTCTCACTCCATATTGCATTATTACTTTTTTCACATCTATATTGGTTTCCAAATTATGTGAGTTATGGTCCCAAGAAAGATATACCTAGGATAGGATGTAAAGAGAGTTGTTGATGAGCAGCAAAAACCCCACCTCCTTAATAATGGCACAGTGTGATCACTGACACAAAATATATAGGATCGGAAGAAAAACCA